CAATGTTGTCCTTGGTCCACGAAGCTCTACAGTGTCACAATGGTCCCTTGGATCCATGGTGCTCTGCAGTGTCACAATGGCCCCTTCATTTCACAAGGCTCCCAAGTGTCATATGGGTCTCTATAGACAGGAAACCACGGAGCCCCCATGTTTCAGGAGCTGATGAACGGCAGCCTCCAGAGGGTAAGGTAAGCCTGACCTGTCTGTCCTGGCAGGTTTGCTTGGAGCAACCCTTGGATATTCAAAATTATGAATGTGGAATCCTAATTTCAGACATTTGTGCGTGCAGAAGGATGATTTTTTACAAAGAAAAGCCCTGAGCCCTTTCCAGTGTTTGTAAAATAGGTGAGTTCTGGCACTCAGGAGTTAAAGACCAGCCCGACCTGTCTGTCCTGGCAGTTTTTGTCTGGCAGCAATCCTTGGATACGCAGAAATTTGGAGGTGGAATCCAAATTTTGACCATGGATAACTTGAAAAGACGGACAGTTCTTTTCTATACAAAGGAAAGCCCAGAGCCCCAGTGTTTCAGGGGCAGGCGGGAGTGGCTTTCCATATTCCAAGGTCTGCCAGATCTGTCAGGTGACCCCTGGGACACCAAGGCAGCCATACCTATTTGGTGTTCCCTTGGTTCCACAGGGCCCTGCAGTGTCACAATGGCTCCTTGCTTCCATGATGCCCTCAGGTGTCATAATGGCCCCTTGGTTACACAAGTCCTTAAGGATCTTAATGGTATATATGGTTCAACAAGGCCCCACAGTGTCCTTGTGGTCTTTGAGTTCCATGAAGCCTCGCTGTGTCACCATTGCCCCTTGGTTGCATTGAGGCTCAGTAGTGCAACAATGATCCCCTTGTTTCCACAACCTCCCATAGTGTCAGAATGGCCTCATGGAAGCATGGGACTCTGCAGGGTCACAATGTTTCGTTTGGTTCCATGGGGCCTTGGAATGCCACAATGCTCTCCATGGATCCACAGTGCCTCGCAGGATCACAACGGCCCTTTGGGTCCACGAGGCCCTGAAATGCAGCAGTGGCCTCTTGGTTCCACAAAGCCCTGCTGCTTCACACTGGCCCCTTGGGACCATGCGGCCCAACAGAGCCACAAAAATGTCCTTGGTTCCACGAGGACGACAGTCTTACAGTAGCCCCTTGGATCCATAGCACCCTGCAGGGTCACAATATTCCCCTTGGTTCCACAAGTTCCTCCAGTATAACAGGTTCCACAAGGGCCTGCACTGTCACCATGGCCAATTGGTTCCACAATGCTCCCCAGTGTCACAGTGGTCTTCACAGGAACGAAACAAGTGAGCCCCGGTAGCGCAGGGGCAGATGAGAGGCAGTCACCAGAGGCCAAGTCTAGCCAGACTTGACTGTATGGGCAGATTTTGTCTGGGAGTAAACCTTGGATATAGAGAATTTTAGATGCAGAATCCCAGTTTTGGCCATGGGTGCCTAGACTAGAAAGACAGTTCTTTCCCACAGGAAGGAAAGCACAGAGCCCCAGTGCTTCACAGTCAGATGAGAAGTGGCCCTTGACATGATAAATTCAGTGGGACCTGTCAGACAGCCCCCAGGAGTCCAGACCAGGCAGACCTGTTCCACGCTCCATTGACTTCATGGGTCCTAAGTCTGTCACAATGGTCTCCTTGATTCCATGAGGTCTGGCAATGTCACAATGGCTTCTTGGTTTCATAAGCCCCAACAGAGTCACAAGGGTCCATTGGCTGCATGCAGCCCCGCTGTGAAACAATAACTCCCTGTTTCTATTTTAAATCAATCACCATGAAACCTCAATTTGATCATTGAGCCTTGCTTCCATAGGCCCCATGATTTGCACAATGGTCCCCTTGATTCCATGATTCATGGATTCCACAGTCTCACCAGAGTTTCCTTGGATCTCCATTATCACAACTGACCCATGTTTCCATGAGGTTCCATAGCGTCACCGTGGTTGCAGTGAGAGGCTGGATGAGATCGCTGTCCCGAGACACCGAGGGATGCTCAGAATGCCCGTGTGGGGCCAGGGCTGGGTCAGGCCTTGGTTTGTGGTGGGACAGAGCTCTGCCCCCAGCCCTAGCCTGGCAGAGCTGTACATCACACAGCTGGGGGTGATGTTAACCCAGCTCAGATTAACCCAGCTGTTAATCAAGCAATCAATCACACACTAGCAGCTGGTGCTACCCTGGCTCTGATTTGACAAGCAACTGGCAGTCCCACCCCAGGGGTGGGCCCATGAACGCCCAGGGGCTTAAAAGCTGGAGGACGAGGCCAGCTTAAGGTCTGGATCCTGCCTTCTCCTGGGGTTCCTCTGTTGGCGGTGCTGGTACCCACACAGTTGGTACCCACATGTGTGTCCTTCTATGGATCTTCTGTCTTTCTGTTGTTCTCTATTTCTTCTCCTTCTAATCCTACTTACCTGCAACATTTGTGGTAACTTCACATATTAAGGGTTAAAGGATTTTAGGTTAAATGTGTGGGAATCCAAGGCACAAGGAATATTTCTCTGTCTGCTCTGAGGGGTCCTGACCCCCACAGAAATACTGCCTTTCAACTTTCACCCATGGAGAGGACTTCCAGGCCTTGGAGACAGATTAGAATTTACCAAAGTGTGAAATAGATTGGAGGGTAGTATGCTATGTCCCTTGGGTGAATAATTTACACTTTGGGATTTTCAGTATGGTGTAGATAGGAAGCAAGATGGAGGAATTGGTGTGTAGCCCATGTCTTCTTCTTTATCTGCTCCATTTTCCGCAGTGCTGGTGGCAAAGGGTCATTAGTCAAGGAAAGCACAGTTCAGGGATTATGTGGACAGTCAAGGGATGAGTTATTGGTACACAAGTAGAAATAACATATGTTTTAAGAGTTAATTGGATTAGACCACTTTAAAAGACCTTGAAACCGTACATTTTAGAGCCATTTTGCGGTGCTTTTCCAGTAAGATGAGCCTTATGTGCACAGCATGCAAACCTTTAGATATGATAACAATAAACAAAAAGCTGAAGACTGAAAAAGTCCCGTGCATCTCCTTTTACCTGGTACAGAACTGCTAGGAGGGTTTCCCCATTCCAGGGAGCCCACAGAAAGGCCCAACAAAGAACAAACATCAAGAACTTGTGTCCCGACAATGTTTGAAATAAGTTGGCTGTTTTCCATAAAGTTGTTTACTGAAGGATGTTGTCTTAATTGGCCAATCATGTGAAATGTATTGATTTATGACCAATGAGGTCCACCTGTAGCAAACCAAGATATAAAAGAAGAGGATTGAATAAATGGGTGGCATTTAGCCCTTAGCCTTCTGATGTGAGTCTGTGTCATCTCTGATTCAACAATGACTTTTGGGGATGTATGGGGGCTACTGGGGATCCCTTCTGCACCTTGTGACCCAACAGGAGCTTCTCTAATAAACTTTGCCTGAAGCTCTTACTGTTCCCATGACAGGAACCCTTGTGAGTGTCTGGGTCATCCCGGCTCTTTGGCAGCCTGGTGACTCCTGGGATGTCACCGTGGAGCCCTGGTGAGTGCCTGTGACAGATCAGTGCCTTTGCAGCCCAAGCTCCCCTGGGATGTCACCATGGAATGGCTGTGACTGCCTCTGACCACAGGGCTCTTTACCATCCCAGAAACACCTAGAAGGTCTCCATGG